AGTGTGCGCCCAGACCCCGGCCCGGTCTGCGCCGGCCGAATACCCGCGGGCCGCGGGCGAGCTGCGCGGGTCAGGCTCAGCTGTCAGGGAACCTTCCCTCCCGAACCAGACCCGCTGACCGCCCGCCCTCCACCCCTGCGGCCTGTGCAGGAAGGAGAAACCTCCTGGTGCTGCCGAGATCCTCCCCAAGAGCTCATGCCACAGCTGGACCCTGCCTCACTGCAGCTTCGCTTCTTTGATGTTGTGTGTCAAGTACTACAGGTGCTCCACAATCAACGTTTTGGTTCTAAACTGTATGGAAAAAAAGCCAGAAAAGTCAAAAGCTGAACTTTAGCTCAGATGAGGGTTTTGCGTTTGCTCAGCTGAGCTTAGCAATTTTTTTTTCCTCCTCTGCATCAGCTGATAGAGAGACATGCTCTGACACAGCTCGCTACCGCAGAGTGAGGAGAGCTCTCCTGCGATGAAGCCGCCCAGCCTGGCTGCCTTGCCCCAGGGTGTCCCACGCTCCTGTAGCGGAGGTCTCTGCTGCAGCAGCTGGGTGGAAGGAGCCTCCTCCTCCTCCTCAGACATGTCTCTTGGCTTCCAGTCACATTCCTCATCTTCTTCATCACTTCGTGAAAAGCCTCATGAACTTCCAGCTCCCCGAAGCCTCGTATTTAGGCGTTGAATGAGCATGCCATAAAGAGATTTCCCCCCCCAATCTTACAAGTCAAAATATTTGAATGATTTTCATGAAATACAGCAATTGTGTTATATCTTACAAAAATATTTTCAAATAGGTATTTTATAAAATAAAGCTATTTTATAAAATAAAGCTGAACAGAAGCACTGCCGGAATAGCCTTGATAGTTACAGAAGTGCTGTCCCAGAAGGCGTTTCAGAACTGCGTCAGATCCCGCAGACGCTGCTGAGTCCAGCGATGGATTTTGCAGGAGCTGGTGCAACAGGAGCATCTCCCCCCACCCAGCCCCTGGCTGGGGAGCGCGCGGAGCCTTCTGCTCTCCGTGCAAGAAAACCCCCAAGGTGGCAGGGCAGGATCGGCCCGGTCCCCTGAGGATGCTCCGGCAGGCAGCACGCGTCCCTTCCCTGTCAGCAGGCGTGGTGGCTTTGGGGCGACGGTTGGACTTCTCAGAGGTCTTTTCCAACCTTCATGATTCTGGGATTCCCTGGTGGTGCGAGGAGACGAGCGCCCAGACAGGAAGGAAAGGGGACCAGGGGATGGGGTGCTTCAAGGAGGGGCTCAGGGGGCTGGCTCGTGCAAGGTGCCCACTCTTGGGCGCGACGCTCGGATGTTTGAGGCTGCCGGGCAGCGG